GAGAGGTCAGAGACAAGGCTGGACAAGCAGGATGTTGCTAAATTATGGATAGCCTTGAATGTTGTGATAAGGAATTTTGTCAACATTTAGGAGACAAAGGTGAAAATTATATGATTGTTTGTTTTAATTATTTTAGGCATACTTCATCTTCTTCCTAAACTAAAAGAGAACATGAAGAGAAAACACTTGCGGGACAATGAAAGCATCTTGATTTACGGGTCTACACAGAATAGATACTGAGGGAAAGGGAATGAGTAGGTAAAGGGGAAAAGAGAGGCAAGAGTGCAGATTTCTCAAGAGGACCAAACAGGTTCCAGAAAGGAAATTTTAGTCTACAGTATCTGATGTGAAAGGAAACTGGAGGGTAGAGAAGCGAGGTCTGAACAAGGGTCATTAGACTTGGTCACTGAGGATCCTTAAGAAAAACTTTTCCAGAGGATTTTTGGGTAGGGTTGTGGGGGCTGTGGAGCTTCTGAGATTAAGATTCCAAAGGGTCCACTAGGAAGTACTTTTAATATTACTCTTAATCATGCCTAGTATAGAACACCCTCAAAGCCAGTAAATGGAACAATAGTCAATAAAGGCAAATGTTGGCTGTATTTGATAAAAGTGTTCATACTAGTTCTCCTTAATGGATTGAGCATCCAAGTGTGGATGAAAACACAAACTTGGTCCTGATCCACAGGATGCTCTAGGCCAGAGGAGATAGGCTGAAGGAAGGCAGGAGCAGGCTCTAATCTGAACCTAAATTTCTTTCACTCACTTTCATGGTCCACCGTCTCCACTTCCTTTCATGCCCCAGATGTGTCTATTTGCTTCACTTATATGTGGCTCCATCGTATTTATCCCATCTTTCTCTTCCCAGGGGAAGCTCTGTGGTTCTGGTCTCCTCAATTGGGGCATACTTACCAGAAGCTGTAAGTATAAACTTCTATGATACTAGATGAAAAGGAAGGAAATAGCCCCATTTGCCAAGAAAAATGGAGAGGGCCAGGAACATCCCAGAATAGACCATTGCTGGTGGGGCGCGCCTACACCCACATTTGATCAGTGGGTGTCTCAGACCCTCCTTCTCCAGAAAGGACACATATGGCAGGCTTTTAACCTTTCTTTGTGAGATTCTCAGTTATCTCTGCATTGCTGAAGAGATATATTTATACGCACAGGTCTAGGGATCCAATAAAAACTCTCTTCCTCAGTTACTTATTTGCCATCCACTTCCCTTTGTGTTCACAGAGGCTAGGGGCCTACAATGTCAGTAAAGCAGCCATTCTGGGACTCACCAAGACCCTGTCATTGGAGCTGGCACCAAAGGATATCCGGGTGAACTGCCTAGTTCCAGGAGTAATTGACACAGCCTTCAGCAAAGTGGTAAGGACCAAAGGCAACTTTTGCTTCTGCCCCACTGAGTGCCAGGGTCCCTTCCCCTACCAGGCACGTCCCAGAGACACCTGGCCCTGTGGCCTCTTGTTCTGATGCTCTGGTCCACCACCTTTGGGATCAGCGGCAGAATCAGGATTGTAGTCCTCTGTGAGGGACGAGCCCAGAGTGTCCCCCAGAAGCCCCTTCACAAAGGTGTTTATGGGGTGGTGCCATTGTGATTCTACCTGGATGAGCTGCACTAACATTTTGACTTTTTCTTTAGACGTTTGAAGATCCAGACTTTTGGAACCATTTGAAGGGATGCCATGGAATACAGAGGTAGGTTGTGCATGAAGATCTGGGTTCATGTAACTTCAGACCTTCATGATGAATAAAGATCACCATCACCTCTCTGCATTCCTCTTTCTCAGATTTGAGTCCTGGGGTGTGTAAAAGTCCCTGTAGAACCCACATAACTTCACTTGCAGCCTTTCTCTCATGACCATAGGGGTCTTGACTTCCCAGCATCTGGCAGGAGCCCAGGGCTCACGGGAAGCATCATCACTCTCAGCCCATCTTCTCTTTCCATACAGAGTGGGTCAGCCTGAGGACTGTTCGGGGCTGGTGTCCTTCCTCTGCTCTCCAGATGCCAGCTACATCACCGGTGAGAGCATTGCGGTGGCTGGCTTCTCACCCCACCTCTGAAGGACATGAGCTCAGAGCTCGGGCTGCCCCTCACTGTAGAAGCGCCCTGTGCCTCTGGGGCCACCATGTTGGGACACCTCTATAAATGATGAGCCTGTGCTTCAAATACACGCTTCAAGTTCAACACAATCAGAGTATGAAACAATAAAGAACATCAGAAAAGAAAGTTTACAGCATGAAACTGTCATTAATGTTTTCACTTTTTTTCAGCCCTTTCCCACCTTGGTAATTAGGAACCATGGTCTGAGAGAGTATGGTTAACAGGAGATCAGAGTTCTCAGGGATGACAGTCTGGGCCATTCCATGAGGGATGAGCAACCTAGACTAGAGGACTTGCTGACTAAGGGTGAAGGGAATTTAGAAAGGGTGTAGACTGAGCTCATTTGTAGCCGCGGGCAATTCCTGGCACACTGACTTTCTCAAGCACCTGCACCTCCCAGCACCATGGGAGATTGCTTGGATGTACACAGAAACAACTCAGAACTACAAGGGAGTTAATGTGAGGAGAGGCAACCCTCTCCAACAGAGGAATGGAATGGCTGAATCAATGCTGAGCCTCCTGGTTGGTTTTTCAGAGTGTCAGGCAAGAATGGGACTCTGGAGAGCGGGACGAAGTCGCGGTGGCGGGAAGATGTAAGTGGGGGAATCCGACCCCATCCGACCTTCGGGGGGGCGCGCCCCGCTATCGGCGGGGCGCATCTTGGAGCCGGCGC